ATATATATATATATACACCCCGTAATAATAATAATAGAAAAAAGATGAACTGCTCATAGATATATTTTAATTGTTTTACTAATACGTAATTGCTATATTAGTTAATATAACATTATATTTCATAAGAAATTTTCTTTCTTGTAGCAATTACGTATTATCTATAAATGAATGGCGTATCAATTTCTAAAACTCTGTAATAACTTTTAATTATTTTAATCATATTTCTTTATAGTGAATTTAATTCCAGAATTTTTTTTCTTTAATTACTTAAAAACAACTAATTTTTCCTTTGTTAACCNAACTCTGTAATAACTTTTAATTATTTTAATCATATTTCTTTATAGTGAATTTAATTCCAGAATTTTTTTTCTTTAATTACTTAAAAACAACTAATTTTTCCTTTGTTAACCTATAAAATTTTGTGTAAAATACAATCTACCATGCATTTTGCTTTGAAAGATAATAATTATTCTCTCAATAGAATTAAATTCAGAATAAAATGCTTATAATTAAGTTTGAATTTAACTGGTTATAATTTAAAATATCTAAGTTATTTATTTTTGTATTTTATTCTAATAAAAACAAATTATATTATACTGTATAAGAATAAACATTGTGTTTTGGTTTCTTTGCATAACTGATAACCATAAGGAGAAAATTGTTTTACAGGAACCATTATATTATCCTTTCATTATGAAAAGTAAAATATTGAGAATCTGAATCTGGTTTGTTAATTGATATTCTAGCTCACTAGTTACATTAATTTTATAAGATATTAGTTAATAAAATATTTTTTATATTAAGCTTAGATTAAAGACAATCAAATTTCATTTTATGTGGAGGAAATAGTTTTCAGTACATCCTACTATCAAGAAGTTTTAAATTAATACGCTTTGCAGTACTTAATCTGAATAGTTTATTTTCTGAGTATTCGACTTTTGCATACTCCTTAAACATTGAACTTGTATTTTTCTTTAAATATTATCGTGTTAAATTTTAGAATTTTTTTTTCTTTAATTACTTGAAAACAGCTATTTTTCCTTTTGTTAATCTATAAAATTTTGTGTAAAATACAATCTACCATGCATTTTGCTTTGAAAGATAATAATTATTCTTTCAATTCTCAAAGTGGCCGTAATTATTGTGATTAAAAATAGTAAAATGTGATAAAATTTTACTCGGAAATTTTTGGGTGGGTCTATCTAAAAACAAATGGGAGGTGACTAAAAACAAAACAAAATGCTTGAACTAACTTTTAGCGTACTGTACTTATATAATTTATTATTTCTTAAAAATGCATTCTACTTTCTGTAAAAAAAAAAAAATATATATCAACCTAGACGTTTTAAAATTTCAGTTAGTTCAAGATAAATAATTATTCAGCCTCTAACACTTTCTCCCACTTAAAAAGTTATCAGCCGTAGTTTATTTAGCATAAAAATAAAAATCAGACTGTTAAGAATTGTATCTTAACGTAATTATAAATTTAAAGTATTAGTCTATAATTTCAGTTTGGTATTATGCAGAGTAAGAATTGTCTGCGTAGGAAGTTATCTTACAACTTAATAAGCACTTTCATTTTACAATTAATCGATTGTTGCTTCTGTGAAATTCCCAAGGAGCTACCATAGTTATCGTGAAATGCCTGATAATGTTAACATAATGGTTTGTTAGTATTACTGATGCAAGCGAATAATGGTGAAACGTTATTAATCTAAGCAGTTATTTTCCAACTATGCACTAAATAAAGCTTATGATAAGTCGTTCTTCCTATTTAATTGTTTTTTTTTTTCTATAACGAAATTTTCTATTTTTAAATCAGATATTCATGAATAAGTTTCTGAGTGTAGTAGTTTGATTAGAAAAAATTTAAAAGATGAACAGTGTTTTCAATTTAGTTTTGTCATGTTTTTTTAAATACACAACTCTCGAATAATGCGTAGTGTTTTCATAAACTTCTAAAAGTTAGCGAGAACTTGGCGAAATCATGTTTGTAATTTTCAAACAAAAAAAAGTAATTCATAATTTATAATAATACTTAAATCCAAACTCGATAAATGTAGGACTTATCATACAAGATATATGTTTAAAAGAGTATGGCAAAATTAATTTCTTTGAATTATCGTTTTTAAATGCATTTCGAGTCTAAATCCCTTTTTAGCTGTTGACAATACTTTAAAGAAACGGGTCCTGAGAAGGAGCCAAACTGTCTGCGATTTTAAATATCGAAATGTGATCTAAAAACTGTGTAAAATATTCCAGAGTTTTAAAAAAACCTTAAAAATTCCAAAAATAAAAACTGGGCAAATAAAATAACTTAAAATTATTGTGATCCGCACAAATTATTCGATTTAATAGATATAGATAAAATTAAATATAAAAAATAAAAGAAAAAATAAAATTTTTAAAATTAGAAATACGATCAATTATAAAAGTTATAGAAACAGTGTGTGAACCACTGATTGACTTTTTCTACACTTTTTCTGAAAACTCGACAAAAATGTATATTATTGTCGAGTTTGAGACATAAAAAGTACTACAGTTGAATAGGACAAAAGCTTTAAACATATAATTTATAATCATTCAACAGAATACATATAACGATTGGTCAAATTAGAGCCTTTTTCTGTTTCTAAATTTCATCAGAATCTTTACAGAGTATTAAAATATAATATTTATTAGAAAGAATGCAATCTTTAATATTGCAACTTTAATTCAATAAGTATTTGTGAATAGATAAAGAATTCTTGAAAATTGAAAATTCCTATCACAAAACCCATAAAGAAAAAAATATTTGTGTGTCAATTATTGAGAAACGACTTTTAATTTCAAGTTATAAAGATTTTATTTTAAATTTAATTTATAAAAATTTTTATTAATTAATATTTTCTTCACTGCCTGATCCTTACAGTTGTTTTATATATATATATATGTTACCGCTAAAACTCGAAAGTCGTTAATGTGTACATTACCTAGCTAATCTGCAGATTAACTAGCGTGATCCGTTAAAGTTGTGAAAATTGCTCCATTTCTCAAATTACCTAGATAATATGCAGAGTATCTAGGTAATCCGCAGATTACCTACTAGGCACTCGGTAAAGTGAAAATAAGATCTTTGCTGAAACAACAGCAACGTTTCTGTACGCTTAAATTAACATAATGTTCTTTATTTAATTTTCGATATCTAAAGAATCAAGTTAATACAATCAAACAATCGACAAATTAGTTGATAGAATCAATCACCAACCAATAAAAAAACACAAAAAATCAAACGATTTAAAATATTAATACAATTAGGGAAATTATTATATAGATAACCACCTATGGAATTTTGAGACTTTGAGTATCTATCTGAACTGAGGGGAGCGAGACAACTTCAACGATACCCTATTTTTGGACCGGAGACGAAAAATAATAAAGTTATCATACTTTTTCTGGTGATCACATGATGTAATTGTGCAGTTAATGTTACCTATGGTGAGTAAAATGCCGGCTCATCTCTGATTCCAGCAAACAGAAGGAAGGAAACAGTGGGGACGCACGTTCTGTCCTAACCTAACCTATTTTAATAAATTACCATAATTATTACCAACCAAATTATTAGAATAGGTTAGGTTAGGTTTGAACGTGCGTCCCCACTGTTTTCTTTCTTCTCTTTGCTGGAATCAGAGACGAGCCACCATTTTACCCACCATAGGTAACATTATCCAATTGTGCAGTCTAAAGATTAGTGACACTGAATTTCATAGCAATTGGTTTCTGCGACAAGCACGCCTATTTGTGGTACATTTATTTGTGGCAAAGATCTTATTTTCACTTTACCGAGTGCCTAGTAGGTAATCTGCGGATTACCTAGATACTCTGCATATTATCTAGGTAATTTGAGAAATGGAGCAATTTTCACAACTTTAACGGATCACGCTAGTTAATCTGCAGATTAGCTAGGTAATCTGCAGATTAACGAGTTTTGAGCTTTAGCGGTAACATATATACAATTATAGTAGCTAAATGAATTGCAAGAAAAACATCAAGTGCAAATCTTAACGAAAAAGACTAGATAATTAACTTACTTATCTAAACACTCAATTTATGACTTGTTTAATAATGTTCTCTGAGTTTTACTTTCTGATGATCAAATTTAGAAAAAATATTTGTTTACAAGCTATAATACACGTAAGTGTACGTTTTTTAAAATTAAATGCTGAATCTGTCATCTATATAATGTTTTTTAAAATATTTTATCAAAATTTTATTTTCATTCTAAAAACCAATAAAAAGGAAAAACTTAGTAACATTTAATAACAATTATACAATTTATCTATGCAGAAAATTATGCTACAGAAAGATGAAGTCTATTCCTAAATATCTAAAAGATATAGGCTTGATATAAATATGGAAAAAGTGTTTATTGGAAACATGAACATTTTTATTTTGTTAATTTTAAACATGAAAAGATACAATATAATCATTGTTATAGTCAATTGTTCTAAATCTACATAAGACACGCTTTATAACAGATAATTTACAAACTTATTTGATAAAATAATAAGAAATTTATACTTTTTTTTTTAAATCTAGAAAGCAGTGTCTTCGACTATATTTAAAATATAAAAATAACACATTTATGTTGTTATGAAATTTATAATTTCTTATTTTTTAATCAGCATTACTTATGTCTGTGTTTATAATATTACTTGACTAAATTGTCATTTCTTCCATCTCTTGAGGAAAATTTGATAATGATCTTGTGAGTGACATGCCTACAGTAAATAATGTTCAAACTACTATTTATTCTAAGCTTTGTTTTATCATTTTATATTTCAAGATAAAAGAGTATATAATTTAAACTAAGATCAACGAGATCATTTTTCTATTTAGGTCTGTAAAGTATTGATAGGAAAACTGGACATATCGTTAGCTTTTGAAAACTCCACATTTTTTAATGAAAGTTATTTAAAGAGTCTGCTGCTTATTTTTCAGATACATTGCAAATTTCATTATATTATTGAATTTCCATTTATATTTATTAATAATAATATTTGTATTATTATCTCTATTTGATTTTATCTCTTATCATATTTCGATTTTTTTCTGATATATCTCAAGTCGACTAACGGGTCAATGGGAATTCTTACTCTTGACTTTGAGTACTTTGACTCTTGAGTACTTTGTAAAATATGTAAATGGCATATAAATTATATACATTAATGTTATTAACAATATTATTCGATAAATACTTAAACATTGTTTATATTGTTGTGATTATTATTTTGTTATTTCTAAATTAACCTGATAAAAAATTTATAGACATTTTAGTTTCTCTTATCAGAAACATTTTTAACGTTTAAAATTGAAAATAATTATTTTTGAAATCAGTTTTCAAAATTATCATAAAAATAATATTGTATAAAAACTTTGTTGAATTTATAACAAATTAATTGCAATTATTTCTATTATAAGCAATTACAAAATGTAAACAATAATGCCAATCTTTTTAATTCGAGAATTTATAAAATTATTTGTTTTTGCTTTGACAATTAAGTATTAATAATTTTTGTAAATAAATTTGAAACATACAGTTTGAAGATTTTTTAATTACAATATTAATTTTAAATACATCATTTTCATAAAATTGTTATATCAATCTTTTCTGTCTATACCTTATGATATTATTAATAAATATAATGTTCGTTTAAAATACATAAATGAAATTTGTTAAAAATAAAATATAATAACATTAAATATTGTATCGAATTTTCTAGAGAGCATCTTATTATTTCTGTCAATATAAGGACATAATTGACGGAAATACTTTTTTGTTTTTTACAAGAATATAGTGGAAATGTTTAGCTATGAACTCACCTTGCGTAGTTCGTCTGCTATATATATTTCATCGATATAATCTTCATAGCATTTTACGATGCTTCCGTCAGTACGTGCAATCTTGTTGTCATATAAACGATTGAAAAAATTCATAGATGTCAAAGTAGCTGGAACTGATTCTATTTCTACTTCAGTGGCTGCTGTAGAAACTGAAATCGAACTACCACGGTAATAAACTTGTAAGGATTGTAATACCACAGGATCTTGGAAGAAACTCTGAAATGAAAATAAGTTTTGAACAGAAGCAAAAGAATATTTAATTTTATTTACTAATTAATATTAAAAATCTTAAGTGTAAACTATTATAGTAAAAGTAGTTTAAAGTAGTTTAGTTCATATGTTTTAATTTGAGTAAAATTATTTTTTATATTATAAATCTATTTTGATAAATTTAATACTTGCCCATACAAAATCATTTAACATATAAGATCGAAATTTCTCATCAAAGCTAAAAGATTGAATACTCATATTATCCAATAGAGACCTGATTATAAATAAAATTAAAAAAACAGAATTATTTCTTTTTATATATTCGTATTTAGAATATTTCTTATATTAAAACAAATTAGTCTAATTTCTAATTACAATAAAAACAAAATGTTTTATATTTTTACGTGAAGAATTTATCTTTAGATCTTCAGTTGTTGATCTTTTTTAAAAAATCTAAATGTATAAAATTTTTCAAAAGTGCTTAAAATAATGTTTCTTGGTTTGTCTAATGATTAATAAAAACTTGAATTGTTGTTAATAATCTTATATATCATTAAAATGCAACATTTGTATATTTGAAACCATTTGAATTGTTTGAAAAGGTTGTTATATGTTATAACATAACGCATACATCAGCAAAACTGTATTTATCAGCGCGTTTAAATAACAAATTAATAACTAGGTCACTCATAACCTAACATATTTCAAGGTGATCAGTCACTTGTTTGTCAAATGTAGGCAGCTAAAACTGCAAGATGCTAAGCAACATCTGTTCTTAAGTATATTTAAATATTTTAAAGTTATTCGAATAAACGGAAGAAAAAAAAGAATCAATATTAGAATTTTTCCTTCTTCTTGAAAGAAATATAAGAGAAAAATAATAATAAATACAATCTACAAAACTTTCATCAATCATGTTCAGTCCATTATCGTATTGTGATTATTCATCGATCGATGCATAAGATGGAATACAATGGTGGCATTCGAAAAATCGCTCATCGCTCAAACTTGTTCAAATTTCCAAAAGGCACTTTTCAGATCTACCATGATGGTCATTGTGCTCCACAAAATTACTTTTAAGCTTTTTAAATCGATTCTCTGACAAATACAATGAATATAAACTTTATAAATCAATTTAATTATAACGTTGAAATATTTTTATATCTTAATTCGAAATCTTCAAAAATTTCAAATCCCAACTTTGAATTGTTTTCATTCTATGGTATTTTCTTATGTTATTTTGTGAAATTTATAAAATAATGTTGCATATTAAAGCTTTCAAAATATTCTTAATAAAATTTACACATGGATATAAAAGATTTAGAAGTAATTTATCACTTTGTTTAAAAAAAGAAATCTTAAAAGAACTGATATTTAGTTTAATAATTCCTAATTGCATTTCTTAATACTTAACCAGATCATCGGTTCATGTTCAACAGGTAAATGTGTTCAAAACTTATGAAATTTTCGATAGTAAAAAATATTAACATAATGGTTATAAATTATATCAACTTTTTTATTGATTTCTTAATAAATGCGGATTTCTTATCTTCTTCTACCTATACTACCCCGAGGGTCGAAAAACCAAAACGATTTTTTCCACAATGTGAAAATTGATTGAACTTTCTTTTGATAGATAGCTCACAGCTAAGAATTTTATTTAATAAATAATCTAAATCATAAACTTTTTACGGAATATTTTATTCAAAAAAATAATTTAAAAATTTACAATTGAACAATTTCATGGCTTTTATATTTAAAAAAAACAAGGAAAAAAAATAAAACAATTCAAAATTTTTAAATAATGTCATCTAATTTAATGCTTATTATCAAAACAGACTATTATTTGATTAAGCCAAAGAAATAATTTAATTTAAATTTATTTTTAAATAAATACGTATTAATATATTTCTTTTTTGTTTAATACTTTTTGTATTAATAATAGCTTGAGCTTATTATTAATACAAAAAGTTTATTTTTTTGTATTAATTTAAATACATTATTTAATAAAAATCAAAATAAAAAATTAATCATACTTTATAATTTAAAAGAAAACAATTAAACAAATCAAACATTATTTATTTTTTACATAATAATTAAATATTTAATTATAGTTTATTTACTTAAAAAATCAATTTGTAATTAAATATAAAATGAAAAAGGATAGAGTTAAAACACTACTTTTATTATATCTTGAGAAATAATAAAATTCCATAGTGAATTACATTATTTACTAAATATATAATTAATAATAAACATTATTACAATTTGATAAATTTATCAAATTGTAATAAAGTTTATTAATTATACATTTAGTAAATAATGTAATTCACTATGGAATTTTATTTTATATATAATGTATTACTAAATTTTTTATGTTGAAAGTATAAAATTTATGAAAGGTGTTTTTGTGTTTTATATATATTCAGAAAATAAATTTTATTTTATTATAGTAATATAGAGTTTAAAAAGTTAATTCAATTAGATTTATCATATTTTTTCCTTTATATATTGCCTACATGTACTGTACTGTACCTTGTTTATAAATAGGACTTATTATACTAGTCTTATTTACAAACAAGGCCCAAGTAGACAATATAAAAGGGAACAAATAAAACATTAAGGAGGTAAAAAGAATTAGATTTATAATAGTTTATAGAATTTATTATTAATTAATAAAAACAATTATAAATTGATGTCCTTATCACAATATAGACTCAAAAGTGTGTATTCCTATAAGATGATTAACTTGAAATTACACCGAATAACTCATTTCTTACCACTTTATAAGCAAATCTTTACAATTATCTTCATAACAAATAAATTTTCGATCGGGTAAGAAATGAAATGTAAATTTCTTCTCCGTTCCAACATATTTGTTATTTTCCGCCATGTTTTTTGTTGTCATGACAATAACGCGCTACGACAACAAATTGTCGTCTGTTTTTTTTTTAATCGAAATTTTTTCGAAAGATTGAAATTTATTATTATATATTATCTTAATAAATCAAATTATAATAATTAATTAAATATTAATTCCATTAAAAAATTCACTTCTAGAGTTATATTACCTGAGAGTGACGTCATAAAAAATGGCGGTTAGTGAGAGATTCGCAGATGTTATCCTATTGTGTTGTCAGGATGAATAATTTCTGGTTATATATATGAATTTTTTATAGTTTAAAAGCATAAAATTCTTTTCGGGGAGTCTGTTAGACTTTATTATTATTTATGAAAGAGCTTATTCAATTCTTAAACAAGTTGATTTAGTCACTAATGTGATGCAATATTTTCATTTCTGGTTATAGCTTTTAAAATAATCATTTATACAATAAATCATTATGTAATTTATATTTTACAGGTTTTAATGGTATATTTTTCAACATTAACATTAATATTTATCAAACCTATACAGTACTGTACATAAAGTTAAAGGTGTATATATGTTATATATACTTATATATAGGTTTATATATACATATATACACAGTGTACATAACTATATATATGTATATATACAGTTTATATAGCTTATAACAAAAAATTCTGTATAAAAATGATTTAGAGAATGATAAATGTAAATATAGAATCTTGTCAATATTCTGATTTAAACTGTTGACTTTACAGTATTTTTTAATTTGTAAAAATAAGGTGATATTCGACTCAGGAAATGATAAATATGAAAAATTCCACGAGGAAGATGATTGCTCTGGATAGATTTAATGAAACATAAAACAATCATTATAATGTAGCTTGCGATAAGGAATATTTATTTACAACTTGTTATTCTAAGATAAATATTATGCATGAAATTTAATGAAATATCGACAAAACTTGTATTAAAATAATATAGATACAAATAGTCACGTCAAATTCTACAAATGAGCAAGTTTAATGTATTTTTTCCATCTAAAAACATTTAAGAATTTTTAGCTTAAAAGCTATTAAATAAAATTGTTTATATAATATATGTAGCAAAGTAAATATTGTATTTCTAAAAATTTGTCTTTTATAACGTTTAAATTTTTAATTAATCCTTAAAACATTTAAGAACTTTCACAGATACATTATTGATAAAAGGAAAGTAAGAGGATTCGTTTCTTAAAATATTTATTTATTTAAATCGAATATTAGCTGATCATTATTAAAGTTTCAGTATGTCAATCTATTAAGATAATGTGAAATAATGGGATCATAACTGAAGTGTTTGATAACATCTGTCTTTAATATTGTTGCTAAAATTAAGAATAACAAATCAAAACGATAACATTTACAAGTGATCCTTACCGCACTTTTTCACTATGTTCAGGGGAAAGTGAACATTTCTTTTTTATTCTCAAAGCGAAAGGTGTTTTATAACTTTATTGAGCTACAATTTAAAAAATTCTAGACCTATAAATACCCACTGTCGTTTTTCCGTCTGTCTTTCCTTAATTTTAATATTAAACTTTTGTTTATTAGAAAAGATTCCACGANGGAACAAATTCTGTTTATAAATATTAATATGAATGAATCAACTTAATTTTTAGTAAGTCTTTTTTTTTTTACTTATATTACTATTATTACTGAAGGAAGATGATAATTAAAATCGCTAATTAAGCATATTATAATAATTAAGGATCGTCTCCTCTGTTGGGTCGCAATCATGATATGAAAATTAGGATACTTGACAGGACACGATGAAGTTTGACAGTTTTCCAATAATTTTGTAACTTTTTAAAAAGTTTAGTGGGATTTTAATATGTTAATCAGTTTTGTATTTTTTTTTCTTCTTCTTCTTTTTCAACTTACTGAAAAGGACTTTTGTAAACAGAATAATAAAAGAGGAGTAGAAAAGGCTTGAATTCTCTACGTGTACATCGAGTACGTGTTTATAATGAGTTAAACTGAATTTTCTATTTTATGAAAGAGTTTTGTCTCATAAGATTTCTTTAAAAGAGTTAGAAAGTAGTTTGACCTTATTAAATTTAAAAATTTTAAGTGTCCTATTAGAAATTTTTGAAGGTTGCACAGAAAAGTATTGAAACACGTGGTGTGAGTTGTTAACACTTATGTTTAAAAATTAAATAAGGAAAACATAAATAAATAAACTATAATTGTAAAAACTTTCTGTTCATTTTATTTATACATTTTAACTCATAATTTTACATAAACTGTTTATAAATGTATTAATCAAGAACACTTAAACACGTATAGGACACTTAGATATAACTTCGTGTAAGCAATGTTAAATATATATCTAAAGGAGTTAAAATATTATAGAAATATGTGTTATTATGGAGAGGAAAAGAGACGAATAATATGAAAATGCGCATTATACGTAGTGGAAACTTTGAAATATTTCGTATGTCAATAATTGACAAGAGTTGTGTTAACAGCGCCAGTATTTTCTTGGTGGCCGATGATCGAACTAGCAGAAGGCTATTCAGTTGCTGGTTACAAACCAGCTGTGTTAGCAGCTGGTAAGCATTGCTCGAGTGATGTATGACATTTTTCCAAACATTNTAAAAGAGTTAGAAAGTAGTTTGACCTTATTAAATTTAAAAATTTTAAGTGTCCTATTAGAAATTTTTGAAGGTTGCACAGAAAAGTATTGAAACACGTGGTGTGAGTTGTTAACACTTATGTTTAAAAATTAAATAAGGAAAACATAAATAAATAAAATAAATTTAGAGAGTTATAAGTGAAATATTTAATAATATAAAAATAATTTTAAATTTTAATTTTTGTTTTATTCATTTAAAGTTTCATTTCTTCATCCAGAATTCAATAGATTACTCTGTATGAAAAATATTTAATTCGCATCTACCATAAATCCTTATAATATGCATAATACTTTATTATTCTTTATATACCTTTTTTTTGCATAAAACTAAAATTAAAAATGTATGATTTACATAAGAATGAATAATATATTTACAGAATATTGTCGACACATCAGATTTAAAAGATATCTAAGTCGTGCTGACATTTATTCTTAAAGTTTCTTTGTGGTTTTTGAGAAGAATAGAATAAAGACAATTGGTATTCTCTTCAATAAGAAAATGAATTGAAAACCGAGTTTGAATAGAATGACAAGCATGTCAGATCGAATGAACAATGGCGCAAGTTCATCTTGTATCATTGTTCATTGGTTATTATCTTGATGTAATGATTGGAAGGAGAAAAACTCCGTTACACTGCCACAACATTGGCTTGACAATTAAGCTGATTCATTTGTTGAAGCAATAAGATTGTCTGTACAGTGTATTAAAAAGGCAAAAAACGCTTGGCGGTCACGACTGTTCCGTAATGAGTGTACATTGATCCGTTCTGGTGAACAATTGCAGGTTGGATACGTGTTAATATTTTCCAAGCATTCGAAGAAACGATTTTTTCTCCAGTTTTTTTAAGACATTGACTACATAATTTATTTTTATAAATAAAAAGTACATTTTGGCACGAATCCATCAACAGTTGAGAAATTACAGATTCTTTTTTTGTAATCATCATTGATAGGTAGATAGACGAATTCGAGAATCTTAATTTAAATTTTCGATTATGTTTGAATACTATTACAGTAACAATATTCCATTATTATCATAACAGTATACAGTTTTATGAATTATGTAATGTTCAATTTAATCGCAGCGCAAAGTTTCATATTATTCAATTTTTTTTTCCTTCTTCTTTTTCTTATCAAAGAGTTGATGATGCGCTCAAGAACCGAATTTGTCTTCGATATATTTTTGCTTGGTTGAATAACTCGGTTTTGAGGGAGAAATGAAAATCTTCCACAGATCATTTGACCAATGCTATGTCCAGAAATATTTTCTTCCTTCTAAGGAGAAGTTCTCGCTCATTTATTTCCCTTTTGCAGGAATAATTATTCTAGTTTAGAAACCATTTTTCAAATTTTATAATAGCCCATTGGTTCCATTAAATTTACATATACGTATATTAAATTTCTCTCGTTTAATTTTAATATTCTATATTATAATTAAAGCATTAAATATGCTTTAATAAACATTAATTTATATATAAGATAGTAAATTTATAATAAATATAAACAGTTTTTTTTTAATTTTTAGTCAAAAAATATAATAAAATATTTCAAAATACGTAATATTTAATTTTGCAAATAAAAGTTATAAAAATTATTAATAATTCTTTTTAAATAGTAAAAAAACGAAATTTAAATATTAAAAAAATAATATATTGTTATAAACATCTTACAGATTCGTTGATTTAAATTTTTAAATATATTTTAAAAAGAGTAGTGTTTTTTAAATTGATCTAATTATTAGAATTTTTTTATTAATTTATTAGCATTTTTTTAAATATTAAAACGTTAAAAAATGTGATCAGATCGGCCGGGTTAGAGTTAAGTAAAGGTAGAAAGAAGCTAAACAGAGGGAAAAAAGCTAAGTAAAGAAGGGGAGAAGGTAAGTGTAGAAGGAAAAAGCAGAAGTAGTTTATCAGACGCTCTTGTCTTTCATTAGCCGGTCTTCTAACGTTTTACATTGCGATCTTCCGGATACGACACGAAGTAAACGAAGGAGCATAAGAGCATTTGGGTCCACTCAGATAGAACGATAGGAAGTAAACGGCTACGATTATTGCCGGGCGACACCTACAAGACAGATAAACGCGGGGAGAGAGGTAAAAGCGCGTGATGTAACTGTCACCAGAAAACGTGCTTTGTTTATCTCAGTTACCGGGTGCCAGGGCGCGGAAATGGGGGAGAAGATCTTGCTTGATTTATGAGTGGCCAGCTATTGTGTGTGGTGTCAGCGACATGGCTGATTGTCCCCCTTCCTCCCCTGGACAGCCGAGACCAGAACAAAGGGGATCCTAGCACAATCATTATCTACGGCCTATACTGTTCGACAGTGCCGACCATTCAGCCGCGTGGCATGCTCTGACAGGTCCCGTCTTCCCCATAGAAATTCCGTCCAGTAGATAATACGGAGTTGGAGCCCCCATGCTGCTTACTCTTTAATCAAGTAGCCGATTCTAAAGCTGCCGCGCCGAACTTTCTAATAAATGACATCCATATACCGCGACTAGCATTGAAACATTGCGTCATTGCTATTGATGGTGTTGATATCGAGCCATCTATATTAAACAGTTGTTTCTGACGTCATTTCGAACACTATTAATAGTCGCTTTAAGTGTTTTGTAGAATGACGCGTAGAGTTCTTTTACAGCCCCGCTTCATTGTTTGCCAGCCTACCTCAAAAGAATGTTTATCTCGTCTTTTGTCTTTAAAAATAATTAAAATTTATTCTCTAACGATGCCGAAATTGAAAAAAATTTAACGAGTTAACATTGTGCGGGTCTTTTAAAGGATTACTTAATTAAAAAAATATGTGTTCTATATAAAATTCGGGATCGATAGGCATAGATAATATTTTTCCTCCAGTCTCTAAAAAGGATAAAAAGAGTAATGCCTGCAATCATTTATAATGGATATTGTAAGGCAAGTATCGATAGATCCTTCACTAACAAAATAGCTGACAATGAGCAACTTTCTTTCACTTAAGATGCGTTTCATCATGAATAACAAAGTATCTTCCCTTCCGTCCTGTTCCCCGCATCCTTTAGTAATCTAATCATTTTGTAGCCACTTCATCCCGGTTGTGCAGTGTTTAAACCGCGTTATTTTCGACCTGAGGCTGATTTGCCCTTAAGCGGTCAGGTGCCAGGATCTGCTAACATTGTCAAGAACAACTCAAGAAACTGACTAGTAGAGAATATTGATTTTTGGCAACAATAACTTGAAGCTTCCTCTCCTTGATGTCCGTCACAAAAGCTATTTACGATGAAAAATGACTGAACACGATTATGCAGCGCATTGTAAACTTTTCTCGTCAGCAGAATAATAGCTGTGCTCTGAATTCCATCCATCTGAGAAGATGACGAGATGTGAATACTTTGCATGTTCTAAATGTTGCCATTTACTCAGCTAACGTTGACAAAACACATTCCGCTTTGCTCTGGCGAAATTTCTCATTTGTCATGAGTTTCTTGAATATTCACAATGAACTATGTTATTTCTATTTAATAACTGATTGAATGTCGTCATTCGGCCCGCAACATAGCCATTTTTGTTATTATTTCAATAGTTTATGCATATCTTCGTTGAGATGATGAATGGCTACAGATAATTCTTATTCCTGAATAGAATTGGGTTGCTTATTGATATGCATTTCTTTGGTATCATTTCCATCCTGCACCCATTACAAATTTCACTTTAAGTATAAAAATCTCTAATAAATTCAGATTAAATCTTAGTACCTCGCAATTACGTCTCATCATTTCCTATCTTGGAATTCTTGATGCGCGTAAAGAAGAGAATTGCATTGCAACTATTGGACTAAAGACAAAATAAAAATTTTCTTTAAATATAAAAACTTAAAAGTTTCTACATTTACAGAAAAAAAAAAAAAAACTCAGCATTCCTTTTCAACTCTATAGACGTGTGATAATTTTAACTTATCATAATTTAACATAAGCATCACCTCTTTTTCTCCTCAAAAATTGCTTTACTCAAGATGATCAATAACGATTATGGGAAAGAGTTTTTGTGGTCGAAACGTCAATAAATTCTTCTAAAGCAAAGCTTGTTCTCAATTTAGGTGGGTCAATAATGTATCTTGTTTAATCGTTTTTCATCTGATTGATCTGATGTAGAAGAAAAAAGTTCAATTTTTCTTAAATAAAATCTAGGCTATCTATAATCCCATTAAAGGAAAGAATATATAGGTTTAAAAGTTATGAAAAATTTAGAATATTTTCACGAATTATTTAGCCTTAAAAATTTTAATTAAAATCTCAAAACAGGATGATAATTATCATGCATATGTAGTATGCTTACTTTCATTATAAGTACGGTCTATCTATAATAACTTAGTTGTCACTTGCTCTCATCTCTGTTTCTCTTCCTAAACTTTATCTTTTCAGAGAAAGTTTGGAAAAACTTTATTACACGATAAACATTTTTTTTTCACATTTAAAAAAAATTTCATATTAAAGGATCCACAATCGAAATTTTGAGCCAATCAGACATCATATAATAAACGAATTTCTGTTAAGAGATTTTATCATCAATTTCATTTTCCTATGATAATGTTTAAACTTTTTGTAAGAAAATTTATGCCCTTCACCTGAATTAGTATTTGTAGATAATTTCAAAGTAAGAATACCAAACAACTGCTTAGTACAATTGTCAAGTAGACAACACTTTTAATTAAAGAAATATTTTCGGTTAAACATATGATCCTCTTTGGCTTAGAACACATTTAACAAATTATAACGTATGTTTTGTGTGTTCTACATCATCTAAATGAGTTGTTCGAATCTGAGAATGGTCAGATATTTGATCTAGAATGTTCCTTTTATTAAAATCATCGGTTGCCTGAACTAAGCAGTTGCTTCTTTTACTTACCTACATTTATGTACAGTACTTATAATCAGTTTACTTTATTAATAAGTTATTAATAAATTGCTCGTATAA